TGCCACGTCATTAATCTGACGTGTGCTGTCTTCTCCACGTCAGCCTCTTCAATGTAGATGCCACCACTTGTCGTTGTCGTCCCTGTCACAAGATCGGAAGATCTACTCCGATACCAAATTGCAATGAGCCCAGACGTGATGATACGCGTCAACATTACCAGTCCATATGATTATCGATCTGCTGATGAATGACAACAATCGCAAATGTGTGTGATGATAGAATGAGGTGAGAATCATACACAGACGAAGGAGGAGAGARGGAGAATAGACAAAGGGGAGAGAAGAAGACAACARCCYACTTCTACTTCGGRTTCCTCCTCCTCCTTGCYACCTCATCAATCAACAGACTGAATACAATGTCTGAAGTTCTTCCTCAAGGTGCCACGTGGCACGTCAATCTGTCTACATYAGCAWATGGAKWGTATCGTCATCAACCAGGTACGTATCCTCGATAACCACAGTCTTGATCCCCTTCCGAAGTGACGAAGAATCAGAACAGCCTCAATAATCTTGCAGCCCGCCACGTCATCAATCATATACAGGTGGCAGCGGCCACRTCAGCAACGGCGCGTGGCAGCTGCCACGTCAGCATGCCCRRAAGACCRTCGCCAGCCAGCAGCGCCTTGCCGTCCTCCTCTGCCAGCATATAGCCGGCGTCAAGCCAATGTCGCCATGTCGCAGYATAGCAACAGSGTCAAGTCCACGCGTGAAGTCAGCATTCACGCAAGACTGAATCCCCTCCAGCCAGGAAGTCAACTCTTAAATAGCATGGGTGCGGGGTCTGGACCCCGGGTGCTGAAGTCCTGCACCGTCCAGATCTCGATATGAGTGAGGGCCCAGATTGGCCAGAAACTGTATTCCTCCCGCCCTGAATGCTGTCTGGGTACCTGCACACAACAAGTGAATGTATCCGACCATAGGCCTGGGYGCGGTACCTTTGACTCTACAGTTGACTTTGACTGTTGAATTTCCTTTGTGCTGCGTTCGGTCGCACAGCCTCCTCTACAGACTCAGGCTGGGCRTGTCTCGGTCACATAGCCCAGCACAGACAACTGAGTCTGCGTCTTACCGGGGGCAATGTTCTGAGCCCCGGTCTGCTGCTGAACAGGGTTACTGCAACATCCTCGTCGTCCAAGTTCAAAACGGCAAAAAAAACACTTAATGGCAACATCCTCGTCTTCCAAGTTCAAATCGGCAAAAAATAAATCACTTTTTTTTTTTTTTTTTTTTTAATCAAACATTGACAAACAACAGTTTTTTTTTTTTTTTTTCTTTCTTTTTTGGTCGCACTGCAGCTGCGAGTTTTTTTTTCTTTTTTTTAATTCCGTCGTATGGTCGCGCCGCGGCTGGAACGAAAAAAAAAGAAGGTGTTTCGGCCCCATGGTTGCGCCACGGCCGAGATGTCTCGGCCACACCCCAGATTGGCCACGGCCGAGATGTCTCGGCCACACCCCAGATTGGCCACGGCCGAGATGTCTCGGCCACACCCCAGATCTGCCACACCCCAGATTTAAAAAAAAAAGAAGAAAAAAAAGTGATGTTTTTTTTGCCCATTTGAACTTGGACGACGAGGATGTTGCCTTTCAGCTGTTTTTCTTGCCTTTACTCACTCCGACTTGAC